GGTTAGACTTTTTCTTAAATAATAGCATAATGTAATTTTTTTGCATTAATCACATTTTTACCCAAATAAATATGTTTGGTTAGATAATGAAAGAAAACTAAAGAAATGAGGGGAGTTAGTTAACAGAGGAGAAACTATTCCATTTAGAACTGCTCCTGGGCTGATAATCTGGGAAGCTAAATATAAGACTTAATCTATAACAATTATCAGATTATAAAATTTTACTTAGATTCTTCTTAAAAACTAGAGTTCTTTTAGTGCTCAAGGGTGTTCTGGGTGATTGTTAATGTTTATGAACTTACATGTTTCAGAAACCTCTTATCAATTTTCTAGTCCAGATTTTAATTCTTAGGCTAGTCTCTGGACATTACCTCTCCCCAGGGCTCCTTTCTCTGCAACCCATTTGCAATATTTTCTTCCAGTCTACCCAAAATGGTAACTACTGTTTTGTTTTTTTTTTCCTTCTTCTTCTTCCTATTATATACTTGTGGGAGCTCTGGTGGCGTAGTGCTAAGGCATTTTGACTTCTAACCAGAAGGCTGGTGGTTCAAGCCCACCAGCCACTCCTCAGGAGGAAGTTTGAGCAATCTACTTCCGTAGTGACACTGCCTTGGAAACTCAGGGAGGGGTCATGATTAGTGGGATCCAACTCAATGGCAGTGAGTTCATTATTATTATTGTTGTTGTTGTTGTTGTTATGTGCCATCGAGTCGGCCCCGACTCATTATTATTATTATATACTTGATATTGTAAGAAAAATACTATAAACTATAAAAGTAATTACTTTCTTTAAATGAAAATTAATTGTTCAAATAGTTGGCCTTTTTTGATAATCTTGAGGTAATGAAAGCTTAAATGAATTGAATTGTTCCAGGTCATAAAAACACAAGTATTTAACACTAAATTTCCAAATCAGTCTTGTCTGAATTATTGTCAAGTCAATGCCAGCCTTTGCTATAATTAAGCATCTGACTTTATCACATTGGAAGGCTTCAATGAATGCCTATATGAATAATAATATAATAAAGACCGAGGGAAGATACAAAACAGAGATAAAATGGAAAAAAAATGTCCATAACGGTGCAATTTAGATCTATGGTCCATTAGCAGAGGCTTATGTTTTAACAGAAGCATTGCATTGGAATCTTGAAATAATTTTTAAATGTCTGATTATTGTGATGAAATGTTAGTCTAAATACATTCTTGAGAATAATGTCAGTAAAGATAAAAATATTTTGTTAAACAAACTTAAAAAAAATAAGAAAATTCTCTTATAATCCAAAAAACCAAACCTACTGCCATTTTCTTATAGGCATTGTAAATTGATGGCAACTAAGAAACTCCTCAAAATCAAATTATGTATTCTTTGTGTGTTATGTGCTTTGTACATAACAATCAATTTGACAGTCCTAATAACATTTCACAGAAAAATATATCATAATCCATTAGCTAGATGATATATGATAATTACATTTATCTTTTTCAAGATAACATTTATTTAACCTGCAAAATAATTTTAAGTCAAAATTTATCTCCTAATGTTGATGACCCTCTAGTTTCCAGAAATATAAAGTTTTATTATTATTAAAGGCTTTAGAAATAAGCCTCTTTTTTCATAAAATAAAATATATTAAAATGCATTAAAAAGAGAGAAAAGGGAGAAATATATATTATTTAGATAATTGAACTATATATTTAGTTCTTTATTCTAGATGTACTCTAAATGGGTAAGACTGAGAAGTCGAAATTTAATAATCATGAGGTTCCAAAAATAAGTGAAATAGATTTCCAATTCATATAAATTCCCTGTGTTGAGCTTAATAAGAATTTACAGGAAATATTTTACAACACTTCTCTGAATTGTGATTAATCCTAGTTTATTTCAGACTGTAGATTATACATCTTTGTATAAAAATCAATGTAGCACATAAGAAGGTAACAGTAGCAAAACAACAACAACAGAAAACCAGCCTGAGATAGAGTTACATTGAAAAAAGAACCATGTGGTGAGCTGAGAGTGGGAGAAGTGATTTGAAATAAAATAAAAGCAGTAAAAACCAGTAACAGAAACTGGGACACAGAGATAGATTTGATAATGAGAAACAAGATATATAATTCTATATGCATAAATCCCACGAGTTCTATAAAAATTCATTTGATTATATTTTTCTTGGAGAAGATTTCTTGATTAAAGCCCTGGTGGAAATATAATCCATTCATTTCAGTTCCTCAAGTAAACACAAATGACTGAATAATGTTTCTCAATGGTTTACATAGCACACTGTACTAGTATTAGGTTAGAAGAAGTCTCAAAGAAAAGAAGTTAAACTTTTTTTTCCATGTATTCAGAAGGCCTCTCCGTGGAGAATTTATTTTAAAAATACAAACTAGACAGAAATGCTCTATGCTTGTCTGTAATAGAATTTTATTGTAAGCTTCCCCATTCTTTTCTCTCCTTTGTTTATGTCCTGTTTCTTTTTCTAAAATCTGTTTAGCTTCTGTTCATGATGGGAAAATGCATAATTGTAAAACTAAACTTTTTTTAAGGTTATTTTAAAGTTGTGCCTAGGAAATAAATTAACTTCAATTCTGATATGGTAATAATATTAGAAAATGAGAACTTCCAGTAATGGTGCAGGAAATGAAAGCAACAATGGCCGAAGTTTTAACAAAGTCACAAGAGACTGTATGTTATTGAGTCTAAGGAAGGATAGATTTCTATTACCTAGAAAATGACACTGGTCTCAAAATAAATGACTCAAACAGAAAGCAAACAACTTGAGTCAGTTTATTTACAGGAAAATTTGCAAATATCGAAAGAGAAAAAAAATATCCAATATAAGACAAAAACAAAAGCCAATCAGGAATTTCAAGAGAGCAAAACTAAGCTACTTAAGAACAATATTTGAAGTAGCATAAACTCATAAGTAATATCTTCACTAAATCATTCAACTTAATATCTTAAGTCAAAGGGTTAAATCCTATGACTTCCAGAAAGCTAATGGGTACTGAATTTCATTTTTAGATGATGAAAATGCTCCAGAATTAAATAGTGCTGATGGTTACACAACACTGTGAATTTACTAAAAAACAATGAAATGTACACTTTTAAAGAGTGAACGCTATTAATGTGAATTTTATCTATAAATCTGTTACTTTAAAAAAAAAATCTCATGGTCTAAGATAAGAATGTAAAATAATATAACTTGCCGAGGTACTCAAGGGAAAAGGGGGAAAAAAAAACTCAACAAAAAAATAGTCTTCCTTTAGTTGTGCTTTTGGGGTACTGTTGATACTATTTTAGCTATGCTCTCAATAATTCTGGAGCCTTAATCTAGTTGTTCCTTCCTTACGAATCCTTACCTCTGGGAGCAGGACACTTTATTGCCAGTATGTTCAAGCTGCTGATTGCTGGTGGAAAGTCATGAAATTTGGCTTATTAACTTCTGTAAAAATTGATGTTATCTAACCTCATCTGAGACTTCACTGCTGCTTAGAAATCTTTTTATCAATGTCTAATTGGCTCCTTAACACATTTTCCATAGTGCTCATTTCAAAGCTTTTTAAATCTCCTGTCCTCTCAAAGCGAACTTACCTATTCACTCAGCAAAAGTTAGCATCTCTGGAAAATTTCCTCTACTTCAAAATTTAGTTTATCTATTCTTTCCTTCATATTCAACTCAGAAGAGAGGAATCCTTTTACCACCTCAAGAAAATCCTACTAGAACTGAAACAAACTTGACTTGATTTATCACATCTCTGTCACCATCTAATTCTGAAATCATCAATAAGGTATTAATTTGTCTGATTTTTTTAAATATCCTTTTAGTAATCTCAATATCTTGGACTTGGTGAATTCAAAGTCTGCTTTCAGCACTAAATCAAGGTTTTTTCATCTATTCTGCAAATCTTATGTCTTTTTATTTCCCATAGGTCCTTCCCCTTTATTTAGCCTATATGATTTTGAACACAAATGAGAGATATAGTATTTCTTTCTGTATTATTTGTCCCTCATCAACTTGATTTTTCTCAGCTAGGCATGCTTAAGAATTTGTCTTCTTAAAACTTTCTTTCATTACCGTTGGTACATGAGTTAATGGGAGCTCTGGTGGCATAGTGCCTAAGGCGTTTGACTGGAAACCAGAAGGCTGGTGGTTCAAACCTACCAGCTACTCCTCAAAAGGAAGATTTTCACTAAATGTCTTCAAAGCACAGATAATAGTTGAACACTTTATGTTCATACTACTAACTTGAAACCTACCCATTTGCCTTCTGTTTCTAGAACTTTATCAAAATGTATTCAGTGGTTTTCCTATTTGAATTATCTTTGACATAAAACATCACTGGCCACACCCTCCTTCTTGCAACTTCTCACTCTTCTTAATGCTGAATATCCTGGTTCTCTTTCTAAGCTCTGCTCACCTCTTATTTTCCTTCTTTAGCCTGTCTCCTAACATGGATATCCATGAGAGATCTATCCTTGTCTTCTTTCTATTTTTTTTTTTTTCTTATGAAACATTCATTCATTCTCAAGGGCCAAATTGTTATATGCATGTGTATTATAAAAATATTTTTTCACTGAACTCCTTTCAAGTATGCTGGACAGCTCTATGTGTATATCTTACCGGTTTTTAAGGAGGTCATGTTGAAAATAAAATCCATCACTATACTTTCCCACCCCTTATATAGAAAAGAAGAAGAAGGAAAAAAAAAGTTCTCTTCCACCCCTTATATAGAAAAGAAGAAGAAGGAAAAAAAAAAAAAAAAAGCTGCCCCTATACTTCTATACCCATGTGATATAAATATCTTCATATCTGTATAGGAACCAAGAACCGACATGTCAGGAAAAAGAAAAGTCACCAATGCCAGGGGCTTCCCCAGTTCCTTCATTTATTACTGTAAGGTAACATAAAGATGTTAGTTCCCCCCAAAAAATCCAAAGCTTTTTTTTTTACACTGGATTAAAAAATGGAAAAAAGAAAATAAAGCAAGTAACTCACACTTTATCTGTTCCATAACTCCTGTAGTCTACAGCAGCTGACACTGCTACAATGAGCGCAGGCATCCCGTAGCCAACCAGATAGAAGTATTTCCTACGTGAATGTTCACTCTCAAAAACCTCCACCAGCATGATATACAGCTGCACTCCCTCCAGGAACATCCACGTGAAAGCAGCCAAGAAGAAGAAATGTAAGAGAGCAGCAAAAACTGCACAGGCAATCTAGAAAAAGCACCAAATGATTCATTGAATTAACTGCCCCAAATAAAATGCTTGTAAACTTAAATACTGATAAAGATTATAGTAATAAAATAGGTTTACTAAAGAATAATCTAGATAAAGTTCTTAAAATAGAGTCATTAAAAAACTGAATTGAATAAGGACTTTCAAAACTGTGCTTAACATTTTGTTATTTGTGGTTTATGGTTAACAGAATATCATTATTATAAGGAAAAATACAATATTTAGGAAAATATCCTGAGAGCCTAGAGATAATTATTACAGAGATTAAATATTTCTAATAGATGGCAGATGATTTTTTTTTTTCTTGGCTATTATTGTGTATGTTATTTCATTGTAAATGAAACAAAAACAAAAAACGAGAAATAAAAGCTCTTAAAATTAAACAGTTTAATAAATTAGTCTTTTATGATTAGGTTTTTAATTAAATAATGTTAATTACATTGTTTCTCCCTTGCTGTATTTTCAGAAAGTATTTATACTGACATTGAGAAATTCATATTGCACCAATGTAAAAACAGATATATGGTTAAAATATGTTTTTTTTTTTTTTTAATGGGTTCTTTCTTTTATTTTTTTGCTATTGTACTTAATATTACTCTAGAAAACTTTGGTCAAAAAAGGCAGCCAGTTCTTTATTTTTCTTTTTTTAAAATGTACTACAAGTTTCCTCTTAAAAACCAAATATCCAAACTCACTGCTCTAGAGTCGATTCAATGCATAATGATCCCTCCTTGAGTTTCCGAGGCAGTATCTCTACAGAAGTAGATTGCCAAATCTTCCTTCCGAGGAGTGACTGATGGGTTTGAACTGCCAGCCTTATGGTTAGCAATCAACTATCTTAGGTACTATGCCACCAGTCCATGTATTAATTCATTTCCTATTCTTATGTCAATTCCTGAAATTCTCCCTCCTTTAGAATTCTTCACTATTTACAGGAAGCAGGAACAAAATCTATATCTCCTACTAGAAAAGGTCAACAAACTATAGCAATTATCAGATTAGTATGGATTCATCAATCAATATGTTCCTTAAGAAATGAGCAAAGTGCCGGTCAATTTCATTGAGTTAGAGAAATGACAAAGGGAGAGAAGGAAATCAAAGTCTGAGGGGTTAGATAGAGCAGGGCCTAAACCTTTGTGGGATGAAGAAAGAGAACACTAAGTAGCCCTAAGAGTAAAACTAAGTTTGGCTGAGTTTTACTCTAAAGTTTTTCTTATCAATCGTTCTTTATGTTACTTGTCAGAAATCAGTTATTCAATGTTTGATGAACTTTATCATACCATATGTAACATAAGGAAACAAACAAAAAGAGTAAGTATTCTCAGTGAAAAGAAATCACACAGCATTTGATTTCAGGTTAACAAGAGAATAAAATTATATCTTTTTGGAAAATAACACAATCTTCCACTTCTTGCCTTTTAGAGTTAGAACTTTATTAATTTTTGTTATCAGAAGGCTTTACTTTTTTTGGAGAAAGAAATGTTTACTTTGATTGCTTATTCATATGTATGCATTTATTGGAAGAGCTGTCACATTTGCCTATGATAACCAATTAAAAACATAATCACCATAATTGCACCCTTTACAGCCATTAATCATGAATGTGTAATCACAAACCTGAATTCAACTGCATTTTTGTTGTAAAGTACTGTATACATATGGACACATAGCAGAGAACAACATTAAGTGAATGAATTATTTATTATGCCCACAAGTCTTCTAAAACATGAAAGTTCTTTTCATCTGGAGTTTTAACCACAAGAGCAAACTTGTACCACATGCATGAATCTTAAATAAATGTAAGGAAGGGGCTGACAAAAATCATAAGTGGGCATAAAATCTCTGTAATATATTAGATAGCCTTTTATTTACATTATTTGTTTAGTTTTTCCAAGAGCAGTTGTCTAGTGCTATTCCTTCTTTTTCTTCCCATTGTTTCCTTGCTTCCTTTCCTTTCCTTCTTTACTTCACATGACCAAACATAAGTAGTAGCAAAGTTGGCGCTTAGAGATATGAATAGATCTTAAGCAAGTATAAATTATCAAACAAAATTTAGGAAGGTCATAAATCCTAAGAATGAGCAGCAGTTTGTGCTATTTTCTGAAATATATCAACTACTAGAAAAAATATTACTTCATTCCCCAATTGCTTTGATTAAACTTTCCTCAATAGTTGGTCAGTGATTAAAAAAGAAAGGAAGGGATGGAAAAATGAAGACAAAGGTATTTCTTGAGAAAGAATGATAAATTTACAATAAAGAACTCCTGAAGAAATAAGTTGCTGTTGTTACATGCTGTTGAGTTGGCCCCTACTCATAGCGACCCCTCCTTGGGTTTCCAAGGCAGTATCACTACGGAAGTAGATTGCCCCATCTTTCTTCTGAGGAGTGGCTGGTGGGTTTGGACCTCCAGCCTTCTGGTTAGCAGTCAAGTACCAGGCACTACACTACCAGAGCTCCTGAAGAAATAGGTACCTTAGTCTATATTTTCATTCATTCATTCATTCATTCATTCATTTGTTTATTTATTTATGACAAGAGAACAAGGAAAGTAACAAACTGGACACTATCTGAAAACCAGTATCTATTGCAGGCAAGCAGAAGAGTATTCCAGTAAAGTTGGAAGTACAGAATCTTTTACTAATATCAATGTAAGTTTCTTACTGGTTGGTCAGTTCGGTTGATCCCTATCAGGAAAAGCAGCTCTGCTACAAAGAGGCTGATGCAAAGGTTCTTGTGGATGGTGTTACGGTCACTCTGGAGCCCGCGGAAAAAGCAAAACGTGAAGATGCATATCAGCAGACAAACAAGGGACAGCAAAATTCCAACCCATGTGATCACATCCAGAAGGAGGTCATGGACTGCGTCACCGTGCTGGAAACACAACAGAAAAGCCAAAAGTTGTCAGTTATGCAAAATAATGTAAAATGTAATACAGGAATCTAAATTCACAACATATGATTTTATTAATGAACTAAATCTCTTCCATTTTCATAATGAATAAAATATATTACAGATTATTTAAACCTAAATAGAGTCTTCTATTTCATAGACAATGCATTGTATCTTTTCTCTGGGGTGTAAATCATTTTGACATTCAGGGATTTCAACAGTGTTTGAACATTTCTTTGCATTTTCAAAATATAAAAAGTTGAAGCTGACTAATTTAATTCTGGGCAAAGATTTTAAACAAAAACTTCTTTTTCTTAAGAAAATTATCTTACCTTTTGGACTTATTTTTAGACAACTCCTGCTAGGGAATTCTATTGTGTTTCAAAAGTTAAGCTGCACATGTGGGAAATGGTGCCTTAACTGAGATGAGTTTGAATCGCCAGGGATTTTAATAAAAAAATAGAATTTTGCTGTCTTATAAACACTTTGGGAGCTCTGGTAGCATAGTGCCTAAGGCAATTGACTGCTAACCAGAAGGCTGGAGGTCCAAACCCCCCAGCCACTCCTCAAAAGGAAGATGGGGCAATCTACTTCCGTAGTGATACTGCCTTGGAAACCCAAGGAGGGGTCGCTATGAGTTGGGTCCAACTCCACGGCACATAACAACAACAACAACATAAATACTTTGTCAGAATTGCCAACTAAATAGTTTTATGAAGAACCCTAGTTAATTCCAGTTACCATTGACAAATGCATATAATTTATTTGGTGGAAAATCAAAAAGATTAGGGACATTAATTGGATTCATATTCCTACTGAATGGCTTAAGGAAATCATGAGTTTGATTCTTGAAGAGTTTTGCATGAGTAAAATGGTTACACACAGAAGGAAAATAAGTATCTGTAATTACATTACTAGATACCAGCATAAAACAGATAACATCTAAGGGGGAAAAAAAAAGAAAAAGAAAACTGCTCATGCAAACTTGCATAATGAAACTGTATATTTTCTTTTTTTGTGTGTGTGTGTGTCCATAAAACAATGTTCTGATCATAATAATTGTCAAGTTCCTTGGTGTGCTCACTATTTTATTTCTTCCTACTGACTAGGGTCTTTGTTTTAAAATTCAAAACTCTAATCACACCCAATTCTAGTTTTCCCTTACTCAAAACCAATTCCATGAAGCTTTAGAATTTATAATGGTCATATCACTGCCTGATAATATTAGATCAGAATTGAGGAATTGTTCATGACTGTCACTTACTCATTTCTTTCCAGGATTCCTGAAGGGCCCTAAATACAAGCCTAACTTCCTTCAGTTGTAGAATGGATAAATAAATCATGGTTAACTTAGACAATGATATTCTAAAGAAATGATATTCTAAAAAGTAGTGGAAAATCAATGTTCTAGAGTTACAGCTAACAACAGAGATACTTCTTAAAAATTTTAAGATATGATTTATGATAAAGCAAGTGGCAAAAGTATATGTATACAGTATGATATCACTTACTTAAAATTGTAACACATGCAAATCAAATATACTGATTTTTACGGATATATGCATAAGGAGTAAAACTATAAACATGTGTATGGGAAACTTCTGAATAATATCCAGGTGATGTTTCTAGTGGATACATTTTTCAATTCTGTAAACCAGACTCACTGATTTTTGATTTATGATATATGTTATTACATTCAGCTGTTGTCCCCTAGTAAATTACTTCATTAAAAGAAAAAAAAAAAAAAATACCCAGGTTTTCCACTTTCATCTGTTTTTATTCAAATCTCATACTTGCAAAAGTTTTTCTGAATGTGGAAATTCGGAGTGAGCCCTCATGCTGTAACCTGAATCACAGCATTTCTCATACTGTCAGATATGACTTCACAGTTGTTTTTTGATGAAAAACTCTACTAGGACACTGTCAATGAGACCATTTTGAAATATCCCTGCATAATTCTAGATACATTTCTCAGAAGGAACTTAAATCATGAAAGAAAACCACATGACATTTTGTTTTAACAGCTTTGTTCACCAAGGGACATTACTGAAGTAGTGTTGGATCTTTGATAGTTTAAATTATTTTATTATTTGAGAGTGGAGAGTGGTTAGTGCTACCTGTTCCCTGAACAGAGGGCTATTTGCTCTCTTCTTTGACTCAAAGGAGAGATGCTGTGATTGAGTGCCAAGCACCAATGTTCAGCACAGCAGCCTTCCATAATGGGGAAAATGGCACATATAATACATTCTCAAATGTATCCTAAAGACCTAAAACACTGGGAAATAAAATGAAACCAAAACCCACCTTTGTCTGAGTAGTTGTATTATTAGAAATGTATTTACTTTACCCGATGCCTTCACAGGCCCTTCAAAAACCCCATGCAGAGTTATTAAGAGAAGAATACTAGATATCAAAATGTCAGTAGAAAAAGTACATATCACTTCAGCACAGAACAAAAAATGCCTAGTGACTAATTCACCTTTCAGGTATGACAGTCTAACTTTAAAAACATTAACAGCAAACACTCACATGTATACTCTGCTAGGATATCAGCAGCCCTCAAATAAAACTGACCACTTGAATTTTATCAGGAAAACAAAAGAAAAAGACTGGTTGACATCAAATACTAATAAGAGATATGATTACAGTCTTTATAATAGTATGACAAAGTAGAACTTCTAGAAGACAATGCATAGAGGAAACACATTTACTGTGATGCTCAATTGAGTAAAATCCCTAGGTATAATTGCAAGAATGGATTAAGGATTCATTCCAAAGGTTATGTTTGTGAGCACTATAAAGTATATCACTGAAAGTATTGTTGTTGTTGTTGTTATGTGCCATCGAGTCGGCCCCGACTCATAGCGACCCCTCCTTGGGTTTTCGAGGCAGTATCACTACGGAAGTAGGATTGCCCAACCTTCCGTTCCCTGAAATTAGGGATCACGTCCTCTTATTAATATTGTATCACAGCACCAAGTACTGTGCTTGACATATTAAAAACTATTTAATATATATTTGCTTTTGAATGACTATATTCCTGTTCATTAGATCAAATGTCTTAAAGCTGACCCCTCTTCAGTTTGCATCTCTTTATTGCTCATGTTACTTCCACTTGGATGTTAAAAAAGGTAGGAAATAGTACATGCCTAAAACTAAGTCCCTGATCTTAAACTTCCTCTCCTTTCTCTGAAAACAAACAAACAAAAAAAAAAATCTGTAGCTTCTCTCTTTTTCCCATTTCTGTAACCAGCAACTCCGTTCTTTGAGGTATTCTGTTGTTGTTGTTTTATTTTTAATAGTTTCCTACTTCATCTACCTACTTTGATCTTCACATCCCTTTCAAGAGACATCCATTTTAAATATAAATCTGGTAACATTACTCCTATCTTCAAAACTTCCTGTGGATTCCTCTCAATAAGAGTAAAAACCAAAGCCTTTACAAAGGCCCATAAGTTATCATGCTTGGTTGTTGTTGTTATGTGCTGTCGAGTTGGACGCAACTCATAGCGACCTCTTCTTGGGTTTCCAAGGCAGTATCACTCGGGAAGTAGAATGCCCCATCTTTCTTCCGAGGAGTGGCTGGTGGGTTTGAACCGCTAGCCTTCTAGTTAGCAGTCAAGTGCTTTTTAGGCACTAGGCTACCAGAGCTCCTATCATGCTTGGTAGAGTCAGTAAAAAAGGGGAAGACCTTCAACGAGACGGACTGACACAGTGCCGGCAACAATGGCCTCAGTCATAGGAATGATTGTGAGGATGGCGCAGGACTGGGCAGTACATGATTTGCTTGTACATAGGGTTGCTGTGACTCTGAACTTACTCAAATAACAACAACAACATGAGGTCTTGTCAGATCTGCCCCTCTAACTTTATCTTCTGCTCATTTACTTCATTCCACCAGTTAACCTGCTGGGCTTTTTCATTTCGCCGCATATTCCAGCCTTAGGGTCTTTCCAGCCTTAGGATGTTCCTTTGCATGGGAATGCTTTTCTGAAAGATATCTGCATGGCTACTCACTAACCTCTTTCAGCTCTTCACTCAAATGGCACCTTTCCACAAAGAGTTTTTCTAAATTGCAAACAACTTTTCCCTATTCTGACTTTGTTTTTCTTTTCCAGCATTATTTTTCTCCTTAGCACTTACTTAAACTATCAATTTTATTTACTTTTCTTGTTTGTTGATTGGATCACTAATGGAAACTAAGGTACATGGAAATAAGCTGTTTCTGTCCCTTCTGATACCCCAGCTCCTATATCAATATCTACCACAGAGAAGATGCACAATTAATGTGTTGACTGAATAAATGAATCTGTCTAATAAATCTGTCCTGGAAGAAGTGGAGCCAGAATGCTCCTTGGCAGGGAAAATGGCTCGACTTTGCATCACCTACTTTGGTCGTGTTGTCAGAAGGGACCATTCTCTGGAGAAGGATATCATGCTTGGTAAAGGAGGGTCAACAAAAGAGGGGAAGGCCCTCAACACAGTGGCCACAGCAATGGGCTCCAGTATGGTAGGCATCACGAGGCTGCCACAGGACTGGGCAATGCTTTGCTCTGTTGTACTTAAGGTTACTATGAGTCTGAGATGACTTGACGGCACATAACAACGACAAACAACAACTTCTAACATACAACTATGTTTATAACTTTTAAATAATAAAGCAAGAAGGGATGTAATTATAACAAAAAGACAAATTTAGTACAAAAGAAAGATATAGATTTTTTATTTGTTTTTGAGAGTCTGTATCATAGATGAGTTCAATTTATTGCAAGACTGCTTGGAAAACTTATAAAAATAAGCAAAAGTTCAAGAATATTACCTCTATAAGAGGGGAGGGGAAAGTGTGTGAGAATATGTTAGAGCAAAATGACAAAATGATTCAGCAAATCATAGTTTCAGGAAATTCAATGATTCTTTCCTTGCTATAAAAAAATATATATATTAGAAACAATTACTGTTTTTAATGGTTTCTCTGAAGTTTC